ATATTCAAAGGAATACTGAGCAAGAAGAATGATGCAGGAGGCATCATAATACCTGATCTGAAATTATACTACAGAGCTATAGTAACAAAAACCGCATGGTATTGGCATAAAAATAGACTTGAAAACCAATGAAACAGAACAGAACACCCAAGGACAAACCCATATATTTATAGCCATCTGATACTTCATAAAGGGGTCAAAAATATATGTATAGACATATCAAAAGACAGTCTTTTTAACAAACGGGCCTGGGAAAACTGAATAGTCCTATGTAGAAAAATGAAACTAGATCCCAATTTCTTACCCTGCACAAAAGATAAATTAGAAAGGATAAAAAACATAGAACTTAGACAAGAAAACTTGCAATTGTTAAAAGAAAACCTAGGGTCAACACTCCATCATATTGATGCAGGCACGAACTTCCTCAAAAAGACCCTTAAAGCTCAAGATACAAAATTAAGAATCAATAAATGGGATGCCATCAAATTAAAAAGCTTCTGCACACCAAAGAAAATTAGTAAGAGTGTGAAGAAAGATGGGCTGGGGTCGTGGCTCAGAGGTAGCGTGCTTGCCTGGCATGTGTGGGGTGCTGGGTTTGATCCTCAGCCCACCTAAAAATAAAATAAAGATATTGTGTCCACCTATTACTCAAAAATACATATTTTTTTTAAAAGGGTGTGAAGAAAGAACCTACAGAATGGGAGAAAATCATTGTCATCTGCCCCTCCAACAGGGGATTAATATCTAGAATATACAAAGAACTCAAAAAAATTAATACAAAAAAATAAAAATAGCCCAATCAGTAAATGTACAAAAGAACCAAACACATTTCTCAGAAGAAGAAACACAAATGGTCAACAAATACATGAAAAACTGTTCAACATCTCTAGCAATCAAGGAATTGCATATCAAATCTACACTAAGATTTCATTTTACTCCAGTCAGAATGGCAATTATCAAGAATACAAACAGTAATAAATGCTGGTGAGGAACTGGGGAAAAGGGTAGACTTGTACATTGTGGGTGGGACTACAGACTAGTACAACCACTCTGAAAAGCAGTATGAAGATTATTCAAAACACTTGGAATAGAACCACCATTTGATCCTGCTATCCCACCCCTTGGTATTTATCTGAAAGAACTAAAATCAGCATACTGTGGCATTATAGTCACCTCAATGTTTATAGCAGCACAATTCACAATGCTAAATTATGGAATCAACCTAGATATCTGTCAATAGATGAATGGATTAAGAAATTGTGGTGCTGGGCGTGGTGGCACACGCCTATAATCCCAGCAGCTCAGGAGGCTGAGACAGGAGGATCTAAATTCAAAGCCAGCCTCAGCAAAAGTGATGTGCTAAGCAACTCAATGAGACCCTGTCTCTAAATAAGATACAAAATAGGGCTGGGAATGTGGCTCAGTCATTGAGTGCCCCTGAGTATAATACCTGGTACCTGCCCCTGCCCCCCCCCACCTAAAAAAGAAAGAAATGAAGTTGTGGGGTGTGTGTGTGTGTGTGTGTGTGTGTGTGTATATACACACACACATACACAAAAAAATGTAGTTTTCCTCAGCTATAAAAAAGAATTAAATTATGGCATTTTCTGGTAAATGTATGGATAGACAACATTGTGTTTAAATGAAATAAGCCAGGCTCATAAATTCAAGGGCTAAATGTTTTTCTCTTATATGTGGAAGCTAGAGCAAAATAAGGAAAGGAGAGGACTGACTATCATAAAAATATGAGGAAGATCAGTAGAGAAGAAGGAGATTGAGAGCAAGAGAGGAGAGAAAGGAAAAGGGAGGAAATACAGAATGAGTTTTTTAAAAATCATAGATAAGTACACCATAGGGAATTTCACCTTTGTATATAAATAGAAAGAACCGATTAAAAATAAATAAATAGATGAGTGAAAAGAAGACTAGTAGAGTAGAAGAATCGAAGGAGGAAGAAAGGGGAGAATGTGAACTGAAATCAAATCCCATGCATCTATGATTTTGTCAGGATGAACCCAACTACTATGTGTAACTATAATGTGCTGATAAATTATTTTTTTTAAAAAAAAATAACTTTACTACTTTAAAAATTGTCCACCAAAGCCCCAATTAGAAAGTGGTAGAAACTTTAGAAGGTAGGGACTTGAGGGAAGTCTTAGGTCATTGGTGATATATCCTCAGAAAGGACGTGAGACCCAAGTCTCTTCTTATCTCTTTGATCCAAGGCCAGGATATGAGTCCTTTTGCTCTGTGGTGTCCTCCTGACATTATATGCTATCTCACCACAGGCCCAAAGCAATTGATCATCGATTGGAAACTCCAAAACTGTGAACCAAAACAAACCTTTTCTATTTTTTAAACCATTTCTATTTTTAAGTTCACTATCTCATGTATATTGTCATAGTGTTGGAAAACTGATTTATGTAATCTCTACTTCATATACTCACACCAGATAGTGTGTGTGCTAGGTGGTGTGGGAACAGATTCCTCTAAGGAGAAGTGAAAGCAAGGCTCCAGTTAGTCTAGATTTAGTGGGATTTATTTATGTGGCTTGTCCTCTCTTTTATAATAGTAACTCTATTTGCTTTAAAGAAAATGATAATACAAAAATGTCATCATATGGAAAAATAATCAAAGAGTATGCCACTAAAAATTTTGGAAAAAAAAAAAAGTCCTTATAGACTTTGTCAGGGAGTTAATCAACAAAATTATTTTCTGAAATTTTTATATTTGCAGTATTTTTTTGGCTTTTTAAATTTGTAAGCTATTGTGATTTCTTTTCTAATTCTGAATAAATATTCCATTTCATATGGGAGTTTGTATTTGCCACTTTGTATTTTTTTCCTTAAAGAAGGTCCTATATAGCTCAAATCTGTGTTCCATGCATTTCTCTTTGAAGATTTTAACTAGTTCTGATAAGCAAGAACAGGTTCCTTGTTTTAGAAGGAATGCTTATTTGAATAATCAGACCATACATAAATGTCAATTCACCTATGAATCATATACTTTGAAAATGATGTCCTTCTCTATTTTTTTGGCTACTTCCATGCAGGCTGGAAAAATGAAATCTGTAATTATCTGAGGCATCTTGCTTCTACTATTAATAAAAAAATATTTAAACTAGCTTCCTGAGCTAATTCTCTTATTATTCACAGAGTTCCCTATTTTGTGCTTGCGCAAGCATAATAAGTTCAAGTCATTTTCTGTGGAAGATGCTTGTTTGGTGGCAAGCAGCTGATGATATTACTTCATGTGATGACTTTTCCATAAAAATAAGTCATTCATGCCAAGGAAGAAGATGATTATCAGGGACTGGAAATCCTAATTAAGTCATGTTTTTTTAAGCTACTGAGTTTATCTTGTGAACCTGATGACTTCCTGGCTTTAATCAAGAAATTATTCCAGGTTGTGGGGAAAATAAATATCTGTAAGAATTAAACCAATTTATATATGAAGTACTTCCTTAAAGGCAACATTGAATTTTATGGTTATAAAATTACATTTACCAAATATACTATTTAGAGTATCTGAATTTTTATGAATATTTTAAAACAAATAATATTGGAATTTTTTAACATGCAGTGAAGAAAGTAAGAAACAATGCAGTATAATTAAACTAATTTAGTGTTAAAATTCTTCAAATATCTTTTAATTGAATTAAAGTAATTCAAATAATTAAAATTCTGAAAAATTCATGGAATAACTATTATTTATATTTGAGTAAGAACATCTGGGAAAATTTTAGCTTCCTTAGAATACACAGGACCACTTTAACAAACTCAAAAATTATGCTCAATTATTATCTCCTTTTAGATACAAGTTTTTCCCCCTAAAAACAAATGATAATTTATTGTGAAATTCCATTAGTTATATTTTGACACTTCAAAAGACAAGATGGGAGGCACAAAAGAAACATCCAGAAAATGGATAAAGGCAATTTTGTTCTACTTAGGAAATTCTAACATCAGATAATAATAAAAATAGTAATCTAGTGAGTAGAGAAATTATTAAATCATAAGAGAAAATTAAATAGAAAGAAAAACCATAATTTTTATGGGCCATAAGATCAAGAATTTGTCTTAATGAATCACCATTCAAATAATATGGATACTGATCTGGATGGCCCATGGGACAGGAAAGGATAGTCAACTACCAGGGTACCAGAGACAAATTGATTGTAACTAAATTTAGGAAGTAGAAATACTCATGCAATGGTGTTCAAATACAATTTCAAATGTTGTATGTTTAATAGGGACTTTCTGGGCTTTTAAATTTTTTCAGTAGGGATCAAAAATTTGCAATACTCTGTGTCCCATAGTACACCTGTGGTCCATGGGAGACAGACTAGGTGCTTTGGCACATTGTGTGCAAAGGGAAAATTAAAACAGAAGAAAGTTGGTTGTGGTGGTGCACACCTGTAATCCCAGCTGCTTTGGAGGCTGAGGCAAAAGGATCACAGGTTCAAAGCCAGTTTATTGAGGCTGTAAGCAACCTACTGAAACCCTGTCCCAAGATGAAAAATATAAAGAGGCGGGGCTATGGCTTAGTGGTTATTTACCCTTGGGTTCAATCCCTAGTACAAAAAAAAAAAAAAAAAAACAGAAGGAAGAAGGAAGATGTTTCATAACTTGGCAGACTCCACTCAACTCCTCCTTCTCCCACTTCCAAACTTGCTCTCAACCTTGACAGTTTCCCCAATTTAAGGAAACTTTATCCAGAAGGAAAGTAAAGCCCTTTAGGCTGAGGTCTGAAGATTCTTCATCAGGACTTGTGAGGGGACTGGCAAGGATGATAGGAAGAACTGGCCTTCTGGAGACCTTCCAAAATACCCTAGCAGACTTTTCCCAAATACCCACCATGTATCAGTATGTGGGTTAACTAAGGCTGGGCTGTGAGCCTATTTGGTCAAGAGAAATTCACGAGATCTGTGGCTCCTTTAAAGGGGCAGCAGATCAAAGGAAAATGAAGCACAGGTCATTTAGTAACTAAGCCACACTCACATAAGTTGAGATCTTCCCAGTTTCTCTCCACCAAAACCGCAAAGCTGCAATTCTGCTGTTGTTTTTCACTTCATATACTATGACACCTTTAGCACAGATGCCCAAAGCCAGCTCCTCTTCTGGCCTTTTTTTCTCTGGGAAAATCTGGTGAACCAACACTCCATATTCTGGGAGCTGCTGAATGATCTAGAGCAAGAAAAAGTTCTATTTAGGAGAGACAGACATGCTGGTTTAAAATAATGAGCCCAAACCATTCCATGAAAAATACATTAATAGATATTGTCACTCAATAAGTTTGGAAACACCCAGCTAAACAGATTTTCTTATTATGGAATGTACCCACACCTCTGACATAATGATGATGATGATGGGGTGTATGTGTGTGTGTGTGTATGTATTGTTTTTATCTCATGGAATCTCAATTGTAGAAGACCTAAAGCAACCCTTGAAACACAGTTACATGACACAATAGCATAATAATATTCTGAACAAGTATTTTTAGAATTGAGACTCTCCTGGAACATCTCAAGGTAAGAAATTCCTTTTTTCCAATTGTGTAAATCATCATCACCTGCAGTGTTGTCTGCTCAAACCTCTTTGTGTTACAGATGGAAAAACACAGGCTCAGACACAGAAAGCAACTTCTGAATCATTAGCATTAGTGTCAAACCAAGATAAGCCATAACCACCTTGCAGAGAAAACATCCCATCACTTTAGTATTTCTTACCATGCAGCATTGCCTTTATAGGATCTCCATAGTCCCAGATCTCTCAGTTTACCAGGAGACTGAATTTTGCCAGGGATCAAGAGTCAATTAGAGTTGGAGACTGCATCTGGCAAACTAAATTCTTAAGAGAATTTGAGATATAAACTCACATGTATGTTTTTAAGTCTGAATGGTAGTCATGTCCTTTTCATCTTTATCTTCACCAGGAAGAGGACTCCAGTTCTCATCAAGATGATGCACATGGACCCACAGCAAGGGTCCTTATAACCAGGCACTTATAACCCTCTCAGAAGGGTTTCATTGGTGGTATCTGGTACCTCGTCTCCACCCCCAGTAGAATGCCATGTCCTACCTTTCTCGCCCCCTGGCAGTCACAAAAGCAGGCACAAATTACAGCTTTTGTCTGTCTCTCTCAGGTTCATTGCTGACCTCTCTCCTTGTGTTGATAAAGGATCTCTACAGATGGTTGATAATGCCTGTGGATCCCATGACTCTCCACATGGTTTCAATTAAATTTCTGGATGCTGAACCTCTTCTTTTAACTTTGGAGAGACATGTCATTTTCATTATCATTCAAAACAGTATTTATTGAGCACAGATGTTGAAATAACCAGTGGCTAGATTGGGCATGCGATTGGTTAAGGTATGACAGAGTAGGGCCACCCCAAAACAATTAAGTGAATTCTTTTAAAGAATTTAGCATGATATTTCTTTAAAAACAATTTTAAAGCATTAGTTTTTGTGAGAATACAAATGCCTTGTTTACATTTTTTTAATTACTTGGTGTTAGCTTTATTTTATTTTTTAATTATACTGAGAGGGTTATAATACTTGAGTGCTGGGGTCCCCAAATTCTTAAGTGATAGTGTTATGCTAAGCATTTCCCATGCTTTATTTTATTATTTATTCAATCTTTACAGCAATGCTAAGATATAGGTATAGCTACCTCTTTTAAAAGGAGAGGATGGAGGCACAAAAGGGATAAGTAATCACGTCAACTAAACATTTTGTCCCTACAGGTCAAATTCTTCAGTTAAATGATTTTTTAATAAAATTCAACTTTTCCCTGAAAATGCCACTTCATCTTCTATTCTTATACTATAAGGAAGTCATGGAGAAAGTAGACCCTGTTACAGGAATTTCATTCCATACTATGGTTGATATCTACAGTCATGGTTACAAAGCATACAAGCATTGCTTTACACTGCATTTGATACAGCTTGATGGTCCAGATCATTACTTGCTTTGATGATTCCTATTTTAATCACATAATCAAGTATCATCATAACCGTGCTCAGGAAAAGTAAATAAGAGTTTTGGTATATACAAAACCCATTGATCAGCTACTGGTTACTTGGAAGTTATTGGTGACCCTTCTGCCCAAACTTTGCTGCCTATTTGCCATGAATAATTCAGCCTGGCTCTACCATTTACTTGGATTCATGTGCTGCAGATAATCACATTCAGCCTTTCCTTGGTTTCCAACAAGATCAAATTTCAGTTCCATTTCATGTCACCTCTTGGCATATATGCTCAAAACATCAAGTTCTATTGAAACAAATGTAAAGAAAAGTGCAAGACCCAGAGAGCAGTTGGTGTCAATATGGTGCATCACATTTATGTGACAAAATCGATCTAAAAGTAATGCTTTCAATTCTCTCTTACTACATATATCAGAAAAACCTTCTATTAATATAATGTTTTAACTTTTGGTTTAGTATATTTTAGTACATACTAAAGGGCAAATACTTCAATTAAGTATATCTGAAAGACAAATTGTTCAATTGATCCAAATAATCCTCCAAAGTTTCCATTTTGGAGCCAGGAATGAGAATATGTTCATATGAGACTTTTTGCTCCTGAGTTTTCATTCTAAACTAAAATACAGGGTATTCAGAAAGCCTTGAATCACAGTCTGTAAGAAAATAATATTATCTGTCTCCTCTCTGTTCTACCAGGGAATCTTCCATGGTGTCTTTCCTCACCCATCTAGCATGCTGGCTGTTATCTGCCTCCTTCTCAAAGGGTCATTTCATCTTCATGTGATAAGGGCCATCCTTTTAGGGGTTCCTGTCTTGACTGCAGCAGACATCAAAATAAAACCGGAACCAGGTGCTCCTGTACACCAATCCCTAGAGCATCCTTGCTTTATTGAAAACAACTGCACTGTTATTTCCAGGTGTTCACTCAGAGATTCACAACAACTCATATCCTTTGACCCTATAATTCCACTTTTGAGAATCTTTCCTAAGAAAACATGCTGAATAATTGAGACAAATCCTTCTCAGAATTCTTTTCAGTGCTGACTTGCCAGGAAAGGTTGAGGAAACTAGCTCTCAGGCAGTGCCTGACAACCTAAAGACAACAATGCCTTAAAATGGTTGATATATCAGGCAGCCCTTATAAAGGATGTTTGCAAAGCATTTGCAATCATCTGGAGAATGCATTGGTTATAATGCTAAGTGGGGAAAAATACAGGATACAACCAGTACAAGTTCAACAGCTAAAAAACCAAAAACATTTAAATTACATATCACAAGCCCTACTTGTGTGGGAAAATGGTTCTGTGGTTGAAGAAGTCTGGAAAACATCGAGTTAACATTAAACAAGCTGTTCTGGGGTTAATATGCTTTTGTAATCGTGAATCTTGCAGAGAGAGGATGGTATTCAGCGTTATCCCACCCTGGATTGCTGCCAAGTCTGCTTCTAGTGTGAGGTGATGAACCAGCAGAGCTAGGCATCGTGATCAGGAATGGGTTTTTTGAGGTTTTTTTTTTTTAATAAAATAGAAAAGCCATGAGGAGCTATGATTAAATAATCCAGCACTATTTATAGAGTATCTGGTCTCTGCTACAGGTTCTAAGGATCTAGGGCCCTCCAGGCATTTACAGCCTAGTAGAAGAGGGAAGAAATACCCAGAAGAGACTATACTGCTCGTTGTCTCAGCAATGTGTAGCAATAATGTTTAAACTGCTTGTTACCGTCAACTTGTAATTCCACTCAAGAGATTCTAACCCTAACAAATTAGGCAGAAATACAGGTAAAGATTTATATAGAAAAATACTAATCTCAGTACTGTTTACAATAGTCCCATATTGGAAAAAAAATATATATATGTTGAGCAATGGAGCACTGAGGAAGAAAATATATATTGCTTCAAAATAAGTTTGAGATCCTCATGATGTGAAATTACATAAATACATACAATTACATATATAAATCCACTTTTAAATATATGTGCATACATACATATATTTGAATGCATAGGACAAAGAGAGGAGGGTGAATATACAAAAATGTAAATGTGCTAACTCCAAGGGACCGAATGATGGAAAATGTTTGTTCAACAGTCTTACGCCCTAACGAGGAAGGTCCCAGTGTGCCCTGTCTAGTTCATCTCTCTGCACCCAGGGCAGGCAGCCTACATCATTAGCAACTCCATCCAGTCCACCAGGGGGAACCAGGAAAGCCGGAGTATTCCTTGACACAATGAAGATTGCATGCAAATGAAATCAAATCTATTCAGTGCTTCCTGTGAAACACTGGAGAAAACATGTTTTCTGCATTTTTGCTTCTGAGATGGTGGCTCTTTTATAATCATTTTTCATAGTTCAACCATGGAAAGGAAGAACAAAAACAGTGAGCCTGGCACACAAAGCTGGGCTTGGGAAAGCATGGCAGAGAGCATCCACCCTGCAGAAGTCTACAATTGGGCTGAGTTCGTGGCCTCTCGACTTGATTCTTCGGTTCTGTGGTCATTCACCATCAGATAAGCTTTAAAGTCTCCACTTGTCCCTCATCAAGGCAATGCTACATCCTCTTGACAGGAAACCCACATGAAGACTGGACTATGGAATGTAGTAAGTGTGTTTTTGTTGGGGCTTCTCAAACGAAAACTTTTCAGGATGACCCATGCTAGCATTGGGAGGCTTCTGCTAAATGACCAGCCAAAGAAAAAGGTCAGGCCTCATCTCAGTAGATTTTCTTTCAAGCATCCATCTCTGCTAAAGTCAAGAAAATGTGGACAGACTATTTCCACTCATGTCAGGAGGCTCAAGTACACAAAAATGCATAAATCCCTTTATTTTCTTTTGAAACTGTGCCCCAAATCTAAAGGTCCAGTCATATCCCCTGTCCTGGGTGATCCAGAGGATACCCCCTTCATTGACCCCCAGCTGCACCTGCAAAGAAAAGTTATCACTCACCCTTCAACCCAATCCCATCATCTTGACCTTGTTCTTGTTTTCACAGGCATTTATCACAATGTGGCTGTCATCCTAGGACTTGGGACTCACCAGGAGCAGGGAGCACATGCTTTTTGTCTCCATTTCCCACAGTACCTGACCCACAGTGAGCAGAGGTTGTGGAGTGAGCAAAGGTAGTCATCACCATGGATGCCTGTGAATATATGCATATTGAACTATTGCTGCTTTTACTTGAGGAGTGAAGAGTGGAATAGAGCTACACTCCTGGGCATGAACCATACTAACTGTGTTGAACTGAGGACAGATACCCCAAGTCTACACACTAGAAGTCTTCTAATGACTTTGCTTGGACTCACATCACAGTTTTGTACTTCAGTTGTCCTGGGAGTCATGCATAGGAATATGGTCTCCCTACCTGCAGGAAATTGTCAAGGATTCTGTTCTAAGTATGCAGATAGGCCCTACAGCACCCACCCTGGCCTGTCAAAACCTATCTATTTTGGAGTTCATTTCCCATGCTACGTGCTCCCAGAAACCTCTCTAATCCCCTGAGAGCAATGAAGGCTTCTTTTCTCCTGTAGTTCAGGGTTCTGGCCTGCATCTCCTTTGCAGGTCTGAGCCAACTGGTCCCCAGAGAATGCCTTAGAGGGGAACACTAGCTGCATTCCTTGAGCACCAGCACATCTCTCAGAGTCCAAAGGCCTTACCCTCAAGAACTCCAGTTCAGCATCCTCTCCCCATGGTGCAGAACAGAGCCGGTGCATCTCTGAGACTTCGACTTGGACCTGGAGAGCAGTCATTCTCTCTATCAGGCTTGCTGGGATGTAATCTTCAACTCGAAAATATGCCTTACTTTCTGTCTGCTGGAAATAGGATGCAGAAGAAAGAAGATAACAGAGGTGTCTACTGTGGGATTATGAGCAGAAAAGAAATGTGTCTATAGTCACAATTCCATTGGGACCTCATAACAAAGCTGCTTCTTTGAGGTGCCCACCAGGAACATCATCTGCTAGCATATTAGAAATGGAGCCAAACCCTTTGACATGAATAGAAAGGAGAAAGAAAGGAGCCACCCATTTAGAAGTACCTTCTGTATGCCAGGTGGTCTTTAGAACTCAGTAGACTCTCAATCCTTACAATAACTTGCAAAAGAGGAAATATTATGGCCATGGCCAAGATCCACAAGTAGGAAAACATTTCAAAGATTTAAGGTCATACTGTTCTAAGTGAGGCTGTAGTCTCTTGGGAGAGGTTGGGTCACCTGCTACTGAGTTCTCTGAACACAGACTCAGATAGAGAGAAGAATGCTGAAGTTTGTGGAGGAGTGGTTTCAGGGTACACTGTAAAGAATGAAGATGGCAGGATTGGGCAGAGGAAGAAACTGACCCTGCTTTTGTGTTTCTGAATCAACTTTCTGTGGTCTCAGGATGATTCTCTCAGTACCCTTGAGAAAATCCCAGCTTTGAAGGCAATTACATATGTTGAAGACAGCTGGGAACTGGAAGAATCTGGCCTTCTTTAGGCAGAATGTAGGTGAGTTTGCCTGATAAGCAGATCTGAAGGGCTACATCCTACATTCCTGCTGTGCTACAGCCTTGTGATGGTGAACAGCATCCTCCAGCTTGGTACTGGCTGATGCTAGTTCCAGGCTCAGCTCAGATATTCAAAGGGAGAGAAATTGCTCAGCAATCTCATGCATTGAAAAGTATTTTAGATTGCCAAATCTACAATACTGACAATACCCAATGTTGCTGGGGATGTGGAGCAACAGGAGCTCTCTCATTCACTACTGGAAGGAATGTAAAATGGAGCAGCCACTTTAGAAGAGAATTTGATAGTTTCCTCCAAAACTTAACATACTCTTGCCATAGGATCAAGCAACCATGACCTCTGGAATTTACCTGGAAGAGCTAAAACCTATGACCACAGAAAATCCTGCACAGGGACTAGGAATGTTTGTCAGCAGTGAAATAATTGCCTAGCATGCATGAGGACCTGATTTTGATCCCCAGCAGCAAAAACAAAAACAAAAAACTTACACATGGATGTTGATAGCAACTTCATTCATAATTGCCAAAATTCGGAAGCAAAGGCTATCCTTCAGTAGGTGAGTGGATAAACTGGTAATTCCAGACAATGGAATATCATTCAATACTCAAAAGAAATGAGCTATCAAGACTTGAAAAGACAGGAAAATTTAAATGCATATTATGAAATGAAAGAAACCCATCTGAAGAGGTACATGCTGTATGGTTCCAATTGTATTACATTCTGCTATGAAGACAGTAAAAGATCAGTGGTTGCCAGGGGTTAGGTGGAAGGATGAGTAGATAAAACTCAAAGGAATTTTAGGGCAATGAAACTACTCTATATGAAAATATGATGGTAGATATACATCTTTATACATTTGGCAAAACTTGTAAAATGTATAACACCAAGAGTGAAGCCCAGGGTAAACTATGTACTCCGGGTAATAGCATTGAGTTAATGCAGTTTCATTGGTTGATGAAATGTATATTTTGGTGCATAAGGTTTGTAGTATTCAGACAGGGAGATAGTGGAATGTGTAGGAGCTAAGGGACATAGGAAATTTCTGTACATTTCACTCAATTCTGCCATGAACCTAAAACTGCTTTGATATGGTTTGGGTCTTAAATGTCCCCAAAGGCCCATGTGCTAAAGGCATTGAACACCCCTGTGTTCATTCCCCAGTACCATAATAAATTAATAAATAAATAGTCTAGTAAGATATTCGGGGGTTTAAAAAAAAAAAAAAGCATTTAGGATCTTTAACCCAGCATCTCATTGCAAGGAATATATCTAACAGAAGAAGTCAACATGGAACTAAAAAAAGCTCCAGGCAAAAGTACATTTATTACTATGTCATTTATAAAAGAGAAAGATCAGAAGCAATTTGAATGATAATAATAGTAATTATCACTTACATGGCAGTATCAGGTGAATGCCCAACAGTAAGAGAATGGACAAGTGAAGGCAGACCCAGCCCTGTGGACTCATAACAAGCAGCCACTACAAATGATCATCAGGAAGGCCATAGAGGACATATACCATGAAGTGAGAAAGCCGACTACAAATTGAATGTGGCAATCTTTACAACTGTATAAAAGTCCCTGCATGTGATCAAGGCTGGAAGAGAATGTGCCCAGAGGAAGGTTGTTCTGCCGTGATGATGTGATTAAGGAGATTTATTTTTATACTAAATTGCCTTTGTCTCCCTTTTTAAAATGCAAATGTAATCATGTTACTTCCCTGCTTAAAATTCTTCAGGGGCTCCCAATCTTTCACAACAATGGCTTGAAAATCTTTTTTTTTCCCCAGCACCAGAACCACTTAATCAAACAAAATATAAGCCCCTAAGGAGGGTATACTAAGTCCCCCCAAATATGACACGTTATCCAACCAGCCTGATAGCCACCTAAGCTCAGGCCATGGTGAAAAACCTGCAGCTTCCTGGGTGGGCTAGCCTCCTCCTCCTGCCCACTCAATGACACAAAGAAGGGCTCTCGCCTCCCTAATGCCTTTGACATTCCCACTATAGCACCTAGTGCAGAGTGAAGCAAAGCTCTAGAAGTATGTCCTGGTTGGGCTCTCACCTAACCTCACAGAGCTGCAGTTTCCTCAATTGCAAATGGAAATAATACTAGCTTTTGGGGGTTAAATAAGGATTAGATGGTGCTAAGCCTAAAGCAGGCAGTCCATAAATTAGGACTAAACAAATACATGCATAAATGAATGGGTTTGTATATTCTATTACCTTCATACACACATAAAAAAAAGGAAAAAAGGTCTGCATTAGGAATCATATGGTGAGCATCAGAGAACACCTCAGAAATACTGTGGACCCCAGTGGAACCCAAAAGGTTCAGGCTTGGCAGGATTTGGGGGTAGGGAGTCATAAGTGGAGGATCAGAACAGATGGAAGCAGAAGCAAAATGAGGTCGAATAGAAACTAGACAGGCACAGGAGGTCACCAGAACGAGGCATCACAGTAGTTAATTTTGTGTCAACTTGAATGGGCAATGGGATGCCCAGATATTGGTCAAATTTTAGGTGTATCCATTAGGGTGCTTTTGGATAAGATCGACATCTACATTAATAGAATAAGGAAAGCAGATCACCCTCTTTAATGTGGCAGGTGTTTTTAGCCCATTTGTGCTATCATAACATTATACCACAGACGAGTCATTTACAGAAAAACAGAAATTTATTTATCATAGTTCTGGATCCTGAGAAGACATCAGCACTGGTGTCTAGTGAGGGCTGCTAAGTATTGTGCTTCCAAGAGGGAGGCTTGTTGCCATCTCACATGGAGGAAAGCAGAAGGAAAATGGGAAACACTAAGCTAGTTCACTCCAGTCCTTTCTTAAGGCATTAATCCTTTCATGAGGGCCAAGCCCTTGTGACTTATCCATGCCTCAAAAAGTCCCACTTAATGCTATCAACATGAGGAGTAAGTTTCAATTTGAACTTTGGAAGGAACACATCCAAATCATAATAGTAGGATTCAAGCAATCTGTTAAAGGCCTAAATAAAACAAAAAGAAAGACCCTCCTATAAATAAGAAGGAACTCCTCTCTGCCTTACTGTCTTCAAGTTGGGACACAGGTTTTCTGCCTTTGGGCTCAGACTTGAAACACCATCTGCTCTCCTGGGTCTTCAGGTTAACAATTGCAGAACTAGGGACTGGTCAGCCTCCATAACCACATGAATCAATTCCTTATAATAAAGCTGTAGGTAGAAGGATGGATGGATGGATGGATAGATAGATAAACAGACAGATATCCTATTGCTTCTATTTCTCTGAAGAACCTGGGCCTATATAGTAATTTTACCCAGGCCTATGGGACCCTGGGGAAAATTATGCTGGTGGAAAGATTCTGGACCTGAGTAAATATTACTCAAGTTCCCCAGGTGCCCTCAGTAGGCCTGCCCTTCAACCAAAGGCACCACTTTGGTTCTGGTGAAGTGAGTAAAATAAAACAAACAAAACCCCTCCATGCACTAGAGTTAGACCCAGGTTTCACATCATATGTCTGAAACCATAGACTGATGGTTAGCTGTTGTGTAATTTTATATTAAAGCATTCCTAATTCTGGGGAAAGGGAAAGAAAGCTTGCCAACAGAAATTGCTATGTGCCAGACACTATATATGCATTATTATTTTCCATTCTGCAAATGAAAAAGCCAGGCTCAGAGAGATAACATGCCCAAAGTTATGTAGCTACTAACCAGAAAAGTCAGGCTTTGACACCGTTCTGTCCAACTCCAGGACTCTAGCATCACTTCTCTGGATCATAGAGTCTGCTAAGGACAGACTAACATTTCCTTTGGAAGATACCTTGTCCTATCCAATTTTGCCAAATACTAGAGTGGTCTAGAACCTTACAGCAAAGTCAGTTGAAGGATTCACAGGGACACCAATAGCTCAGAGCATTCTCCTCCCAAAGGACCCAAATGTAGCAGCACAAAGGCATGGGGGCTGGCCCAGGCCTCCCCAGTCTTAGAGATGAAGATGCAGAGGGGCTCCAAGATAAGCATCAACAGGGATGGAGGAAAGAGGGTGAGGGGGCCAGGATAGCTCTGGAGTACTGCTTTCCTGGGTCAGTTTGGTGTCAGTGCAGAAAGAAAGTCCCAGTGCTCTTGGGCCATGGGGTCTCCATGGAGTCTCCATGGGAGATAGGAATGGAAATTGCACTACAGGTCCCTGGCAGGAAAACTGCTGACTTTTCTGATTGATGGTCTATCTATAGTGCTATCCAGTCCAGGAGGCTGCACTCAATTCATTTTCCAATCATACCAATAGCTCTTGGGCATACTCCCTGTGTTTCCGGTACCACTTTGG